TTGCTGGGTCAAAAAACCTTTACCCCCCCCCCCCCTTAAAGACCTGCCTCATCATTGGAATGTGTTGTGTCAGAAACAAGTGACAGCATGACTCTTTAACCCTCAGACTGTGGCTATTGCTGTTTGAGAAGTGGAACAAATTTAGTGCTCTCAAATACATGAACCATAAGGAATCCAGTGGTGCTGTCAGTTTCACTCTGGAGATTTATTAAGGTGCTTATAATTTATGTTTGTGACATGTGAAATACCTCAATGCAGAGAAGAGCTGTCAAACCCTGACCTCAATCGAACTACACAATCTACACATAGCACAAGGAGATAACCTTACTCCCTTGGTCAGCATAATTTAGTTTGTGGATATACACAATATACTGTTTGACTTGCTCTTTTTTTAAGGTTTAAAACTGCACCCGTGCTTCGTCTCTGTCATTACCACATTTTTGTTTGTGTATATGTGTGTGTGTGTGTGTGTTTGTATGTCTACTTAAAATGGCTGTTTGTGTCATGTGATTCCCTTGCGGGGTTTAGATTATGGGGTGTTATCAGTTTTGAGGCAACGCCCCCTGTGTGCCAGGGCTATAAAAACATGTGTCAGACAAGAAACATTTTCTTCTGTGTTTGACACAACGCCTGGAAGAGGAAAAGGTATTATTACACGCTATTTGTACGCAAAGAGTTATTATTGGACTTACCGATATTTGTTTACTTGTGTCATGCAGTGAAGGTTTATGAGGTCAGCATTATATGATAAAAGTCTGTCTTCACTATATGACCATATATTTGGTATGTGGATGTTTTTGCATGCTTGTTATATGCATTAGCTGCTAAATTGACGTTTTACTCAAAAATACCTCATGCAGTGGTCATTGTGGTTGACTATGAATGTGTGTTGTAGAAGTTCTTGAATGGGTTGTTTTTAAGTTCTCTGGAAGAATTTGGTAAACTTAAAATTATTTTTAAAAACTGTACAATCATCCTCTTATGCAGCCTTGTAAATATGAGGGATCTGATTACCATTTGGAAGCCATGAGATGGGGGTTGGGGTAGATCACAAGTACATCCAGTGTACTCAGGGTATGTTGTCCACTGTATTTTTGGAATAGAGACGAGGAGGGACTCAACCTTCACAGTGACAAATCACACGTCAGCACTGTCAGAATTTTAGTTTGCCAGTGGTTAGTACAACCCTATGTTAAAACTGATTATAAATATACAGAAACCAGTCTATCACATTAATTATAATACAAAAACAGTGTTTTCAAAACATTACAGTACATATAAATAACCATGATTTTGATTATTAAACCATTTTCTGTAATAATTTGGTTATTACAAAATTATAACTCCAATACGTAGGTTGTTTTAAATTTTTACCTGTGATATATCACAGTCATTCTCTTCTGCCTCAGTGGATTTCTTCAAGCTAATAACGTTTTCTTCTTTACTGGTGAGAGACTTCAGCGTCTGCCCTCTTCTGGCTCCTCCCTGTCTGCAGTGACATCAGCACAGCATTAAGGAGAGGGGAGGGAATAATTAGTCATGCCACTGAACCGCTTGATCTCATTGGTTGTTTCTGTGTTTGTGTTTCTGAAGATGCCAGAGTTTGAGAAGAGCACAGTTCACATCAGAGACCCTGAGAGGGTGGAGCAGATTATCTGCAGTCTCATTAAAGGTGGAGCATCGAAACTGCAGGTACAAACACTGGCTTCATTAGGCCATCTGTCTATCATACAATTATTGTCACATTACTAGTGTTATGCACTGAATGAAAACACACCTGTACTGTCACTGTGATATATCACAGTCATTCTCTTCTGCCTCAGTGGATTTCTTCAAGCTAATAACGTTTTCTTCTTTACTGGTGAGAGACTTCAGCGTCTGCCCTCTTCTGGCTCCTCCCTGTCTGCAGTGACATCAGCACAGCATTAAGGAGAGGGGAGGGAATAATTAGTCATGCCACTGAACCGCTTGATCTCATTGGTTGTTTCTGTGTTTGTGTTTCTGAAGATGCCAGAGTTTGAGAAGAGCACAGTTCACATCAGAGACCCTGAGAGGGTGGAGCAGATTATCTGCAGTCTCATTAAAGGTGGAGCATCGAAACTGCAGGTACAAACACTGGCTCCATTAGGCCATCTGTCTATCATACAATTATTGTCACATTACTAGTGTTATGCATTGAATGAAAACACACCTGTACTGTCAACACAATCATTAGTAGTGTTTAATAAATCAAGCATTACTGTTGCTTGATAATGCTGATAAATCAGTCTGTGACTAGTGTCTAATGACCCATGGTGTCCACCGTGGCTCTGCTGACTGTCCTTCTGTTCTTCAGATCATCACAGATTTTGATATGACGTTAAGCAAGTTTGCTGTCAATGGAAAACGTTGCCCAACATGTCATAGTGAGTAAAAAACAGCCCCCCCCCCGCAACAAAGAGCACAACATTTGCAAGCATTAAGTCAATAAACAAAAGATTCTAAGAGGGTTACAATACATGAACTAAAATGTATTATATTATATATAATGGAAAACGTAACCCAACAAAACATAGTGAGTAAAAACCCGCCCCCCCCCCCGCAACAAAGAGCACAACATTTGCAAGCATTAAGTCAATAAACAAAAGATTCTAAGAGGGTTACAATACATGAACTAAAATGTATTATATTATATATTAAAAGTATTACACTGTAGAAGTATTACCCAATTAAATTTGTAATTAAAAAAAAAAAAAAAATGTCAAATTTATGTCAACATTTTTTCCAGATAAAATAGGCTATTCTTTTAAAATGTACATTTATGGATGAAAAAATTCATAATAACCTGTTCTGGATATAAAATTCAAATATTAAAAATATTAAAATATGTCTTTGAGATCCAGTAATCTGTACGTTTTGCTTTTATAGATATCATTGACAACTGCAAGCTGGTGACAGAAGAATGTAGGAAGAAGGTACATGATTTTCTTCATCTTTTCTTCAACAAAACAGGAGCGTTTAAAGTTTATTAAAGGGTCAACCTTGTGAAGACTTACAGAAAACGTTTGACGTCTGTCATTGCCAACAAAGGGTATATAACAAAGTATTGAGATGAAATTTTGTTATTGACCAAATACTTATTTTCCACCATAATTTGCAAATAAATTCTTTAAAAATCCTACAATGTGATTTTCTGGATTTTTTTTCTCATTTTGTCTCTCATAGTTGAGGTATACCTATGATGAAAATTACAGGCCTCTCTCATCTTTTTAAGTGGGAGAACTTGCACAATTGGTGGCTGACTAAATACTTTTTTTCCCCACTGTATATCGAAATCCTCTGACATTCTTCTTTACAAATCCTCGGGTTTGTACTTCTAATTCTTGGCCGTTGTTTTGTTTTGATCTCTCCGCTGCGTTTCTGCGTGCGTCACTTCTGAGCGGCGCATGCGCAAAGCCGACCTGATACGTCATTCCCCCGGAACTGCTTCTGTTTACAACAGTGAGCACAAGCTAGATTCAAGTGAGTATTACGTTTTGAATATGGATATTTTTCTTACAAAAACGCATCGATTCGCTACAGAAGGCCTTTGTTCACCCCCCGGAGCCGTGCGAGACACTTTCTTTTTATTTTTATGGATGGGCACTTTTTATTTAAGTTATTTTGGACTGAAGCAATGCAACACCCACTGAGTGGCATTAAACAGCTTGAAAGATCAAAGACAATTTTTAATATAACTCCGACTGGATTCGTCTGAAAGAAGAACGTCATATACACCTAGGATTCCTCAGGGGTGAGTAAAACGCAGCCTAATTTTCATTTTTGGGTGAACTAACCCTTTAAGTTTTTTGAAGTAGATTTACATCCTAAAAATTTTATTTTTCCAGCTGCTTCAACTAAAGGAGACGTATTATCCAATAGAGATAGACCCTCATCTGACCATGGAGGAGAAATATCCATTTATGGTGGAGTGGTGAGTGACCACACATGCTAATAAACACACATGAAATGATCTTTCAAAATGCTTTATTAAATAAATGTGGTCTTTATTCCTCAGGTATTTTAAGTCTCACACATTATTGGTAGAACAAAGATTGCAAAAGGACAAACTTCCAGAGGTCGTGAGAGAGTCAGATGTCTGTCTAAGGTACAAATATCTCCACTCACATCAAGAGGTTTTCACAAACTTTCACTCTGAACACCAAGTAAACTTGCATTAGAATTGCAGCAGCTGTGGTATCATTTTGCAAAACACTACACCAAAAGCACAATTACTTTCTCAAAGATGTTGCCAGATCTGATTTTTGGCATGTGTTTGGACGCATGTGACAGGGAAGGGTACGAGCAATTCTTTGACCGGCTGCACCAGCACAGCATCCCTGTGTTCATTTTTTCCGCGGGTCTGGGAGATGTGCTGGAGGAAATTATCAGAAAAGCTGGCGTCTACCACACCAACGTTAAAGTTGTGTCCAACTTCATGGACTTTGATGATAATGTGAGTCTCAAAGCCTTTATAAATATCATCGGTTCATATTACTCTCAAACACTGCTTTAATTGGGCTCGGTGATGATCATCTGGTGATCAGGATCTTCTGTATTGTTTTGCAGGGGGTTCTGAAAGGCTTTAAAGGAGAGCTGATCCATGTTTACAACAAGCATGACGGTGCCCTGAGGAACACAGAGTATTTCAAACAACTGAAGGACAATGGAAATGTTATTCTGCTCGGAGACTCTCTCGGTGATCTCAATATGGCAGATGGCGTGCCCAACGTAGAGCACATCCTCAAAATCGGCTTTCTTAATGATAAGGTACTGATTTGTTTTCTCATTGCTCAAAACAGGACCGTTGTTTAGTTGATTTCACTGATAAGGTTTTGTTGTGTTTCACAGGTAGAAGAATGGTTAGAAAAGTACATGGAATCTTACGATATAGTTCTGGTGAGGGATGAAACACTGGAAGTGCCTAATTCCATACTACAGAAGATCTTATAATAGACACCGCAGAGCCACCGGCCCACAGCACAGCCTGCGAGGAAAAGACTCAAATTCCAGGATATTCAGAGTCACCTGGATAATTCCAGCACTGAGGCCAGCCTTCATGTGTCGACATGTCTCACATGCTCACAAGCCATACATACTTCACCCTTTGACCTTTTTAAAGTTGTGTCCTCTCATCATAATGAACTATTTTAATAAACACATACATCTGTAAACGAATATCAAAGGAAAAATGTCATTTGCATAATGGTAAAAAATTGTTTTTAGATATTTTTGATATGGAAATTCAGTGTTTGCAATAAAAGTTGGGACAGTGAACAGTACAAAGCCCAACTGACATATCACATTCATCATCATTCTTAAAATGATGTGCACTTTTAAAGTCTGAAACATGGAACTTTGCATGCTCTGATCAAAATTAAAACAATACTGTTAATTGCTCCAAAAGCCATGCTGTTTCATGTATTGTGTGCTTTGTCTTGTGAGAATGTGTAAGCATAATTTATCAACCTTTCGGTGTTAATATTTGCACAACCTTCTGATCACCAGTGAGGTAGGCAATAAAGTTTGTTTTTTTTCTCTTGAGTGTTTGATTTGAAATTATGTGTGAATGAATGAGAAAGATTTATACGAAGTTGGCAATATATTACTTATCTAAAAGGAAAAAGCCCAACCTGTTTGGCAGGAAGGCTGAACACAGGGTTTGTATAAAGTAATATATATATATATATATTTTGTAACTGTTATGCTTTCAAGGTTTGAAATGTTCATGAATTTGGAATATGTTCCCTGAAAATGCTAGTGAGGTTGGGTTTGGTGCCTCCAAACATCTTGAGTCTTGAATTTGATAACCATAACCAGTGTTGGGGAAAGTCACTTTTAAAAGTAATGCATTACAATATTGCGTTGCTCAGTTAAATTTGATGGAAAGTAATGCTCTCAGTGAATGAAAGTGTCAGTGAATAAATGGAAAAGCAAAGTAACATGCGTTACTTATTTGAAAAAGTAACTCGGATATTTTCTTATACACTTAAAAGTAATGCATTACTTTACTAGTTACTTGAAAAAAAGTAATCTGATTACATAACTCACGTTACTTGTAATACATTACCCGAACACTGACCATAACCCTAACATATTTGTTCACTGTGACAATTTATTCAGATTACATATGCCATTAGGCAGTGACAAATGGGTGTTTTTTATGTTATGACTTACTGAAATGATTTGTCCCAAAAAAGAAGCAAGTCTTATGTTTTAGTGTTTTCCACTCAAACTAGAACAATGTGCATCTATTTTTTCTTCATTGTGTGAAATGCTGAGCATGAAATTTGATCTCCAAGGGCCTTTTTTTCTTTTCTGCAGTTCTTGTCTGTAGTTGCAGTGCTAGTCGTGACATGCCTTTGAACATCAGACCATCAAACAAGCAAAATGTCATGCAATTACATACACTCTACTGTGTCTGCAGGTTCCTACAGCTATCCAATAAACAAACAGCGTTTATGGTAAATGAAATAATTTATTATTTAGAAGTTTCTTTGATGTCCTCCTCCATCCGCCCATTCAAAATTGACTTGAGACTTAAGTTTCAAATTTCATTTTTACTTAGCACGGGTTGAAAAAAATGTATGCTCTTCCTCACAGTTTGTAACTAGCGGTCTCAGAATAACAAACAAAAACTTTATGCAGTGTACACATTTGAAAATGTTCATTGTAAATTAAGGTTAATCATTTAGAGCAGGTTAAATCTAAACTTTGCAGGGCTCCGGCCCTCCAAGAATTGAGTTAGAGCATGTTGAGGGTTCATTTTTGGTTCATCTTACATAAATGATGAAGATGGTGAATTTGTCAGTGACATTCAGTGTCATCCCTTCCATCATGCTGTACATCTGGTTCTGCAGATAGTCTGCCACAGTTTTTTGCGCACTGAGAAACCCTCAGAAACAGTAGCTACATACATATGTCTTCTCTTTCAAATGCTTCTAATCCATCTAGCTGCACTGCCACAGAGAGTTCAGCAAAAATGTGCCTCTGTAATTGCTAGCTTGTGGCATGGAAATTCTCTAGTACTGAGTACCAAAACTGCATCATGTAGGTAATGTCCAAAGTGTCCAGCGGTGCACAGCACAGATGCTTCTCTGCAAGTTTCCATGTATGTCATTGGAAATTTTGCTCAAGGTCTTTCTGACCTGTCTGACCTCTCTAAATGCATGACACAAAATGGATTAAGGGATTATTGCTGTTCTTCCCTGACATGTTGCTTGCATTGTTGCCCCCTACAACTAGAAAAGTCACACCCAAGACTGTTAACCATAGCCAGAATGCACTCATGAAAGAGGTCTAAGGTGGAGTTTGCGATTACAGAGAGTATGCTTTTTATCCCCTCGGCAATGGTTTGCTTGAATTTCTCACTCATTAGCAGAATAAACTCTCCACACATGGTCGATGATAAATACATTTTGTGGGATCAGTTAGAAAATAAGTGACATGAGGGATGAGGGTGGTGGTGGGCGTAGTGTCCTGCCTACCCAAATATTCCTTAACGCGGTTTTTCCCGAGAAAGTCACCAACCCCCAAGAAAACAACTTAAAACACATGCATTGTCCCTATACCCCAATAACATGGTGCTGGAACCAGGCCTGAGAAGAGAAAATATAATTTGCCTAATGTATCAAGTTAATTAAACAAAATAAACGTGCACTTCGGCCAGTGCTTCAGTGCTTGTATTGAAATATTTGATATGCTACCATGATAAAACTGTGGGAGGAAGCAGCACTGGTAGAAACTCTTTGAGCTCCTGCAAGCTCCTTTATGAATGATCTTGTAAATTAAAAAGTAATGCGTTACTTTACTAGTTACTTGAAAAAAGTAATCTGATTACATAACTTGCATTACTTGTAATACGTTACCCCCAACACTGGACAGTAGACTGTTTTTATGATTAGGCCCTACCACTAATCTATTCAGTGATTTTCAAGTTAAAATATAATGCATAATAGTTACTGGATTTGTGGTATGGGATATATTATATGGGGGCATATTTCGAGTTAGGGTCGTTGGGTTAGTTTCCTGCTGCCGGTAGTGTGGGCACTCGCGCATAATCAGTGACGTACAAGTCGAAAAGGAAGGGCATAAAAAGTTGAAGTGGAACGCGGCTGCTGGCTTCAAAAGGGCTCTCGGTGAACGAGTAAATGTATGAAGTGAACGAGAGCGTTTCATTCCCTTGAAAGAGTCATTTTAAACCACCGTTTAGTTCACAAATCTAACATCAGAAAGAGGAGACACAGAGAGAAAGAAAGCCTGCCGATGATTGTGAGGGGACTGTTTTTACGTTTTGGCTAATCGGTGTTACTTTGTTAGCTGCCTCATTAAGTTACTTACTAAATATCTGTTTAGGTTCATGACTATTAGTGCACATACATAGTTGTCCCTTTATCTGATTCGTGGAACCAGCCGGAGCTTGCTTACCGTACACCTTTCTAAGCGGCACATTCTAATTGTATTTAAAACTATAGCTTATTTAGTCTAACCAGCTTGCTAGATTAGATTTATATGTGACCCTGAACCACAAAACCAGTCATAAGGGTCAATTTTTTGAAATTGAGATTTATACATCTTCTGAAAGTTGAATAAATAAGCTTTCCATGGGTGTTAGGATAGGACAATATTTGGCCGAAGATACAACTATTTGGAAATCTGGAATCTGCGGGTGCAAAAAAATTGAAATATTGAGAAAATCTCCTTTAAAGTTTTCCAAATGATATCCTTAGCAATGCATATAACTAATGATAATACATTTTCTATATATTTACGGTAGGAAATTTACAAAATATCTTCATGGAACATGATCAATATCCTAATGATTTTTGGCATAAAAGAAAAATCGATAATTTTGACCCATACAATGTATTTTTGGCTATTGCTACAAATATAACTTACCCGTGCTACTTATGACTGGTTTTGTGCTCCAGGGTCACATATGCGGGTCAAAGATGAAAAGCGCTTTTCAATCATCAAAACAATAAAAGTTTAATAAAGCTTTGTTCTTTTTTCGTACATTAGAATGTGTCCCGTTTAATAATAATAATTGTTATTATTATGATTACTATTATTATTTTCTGAGCAAAAAAAAGAATGACTATCATATATTTTTAACAAGATTTACAGGGGGAAAAAATCATTCATTGTAACAGCTTGTATAGCCTAGCTACCAAAAATGATTGTCAGAAAAATGTTGAACAAGAATCATTAGATGACATTAAAAGACTTTAATTTAGGATCACAGTGCAGCCGCAAAATACAAACTAATTGTCATTTAAAATTTTTACCAATCTTGGCCACTATCCTTCAAACCACTAGGTTTTGTCAGCAATAAGTGTTTAATCATTTAAAATATAATAATAAATGTAGTTTGATAACTTAATATTTTATATTTTCAATTATTTTATATGTTAACTTATTTTAAGTACAGGTCAGAATAAGTATGTTGTTTCATTTTGACATAAATATATCTGTTACGCTGTTAACGATGGAACATTATTTCACCCATATTTTGACATTGTATTTCCACAAAAGTTATTTGAAACATTAAAGTAGATGCTTTAGTTGGATTTAAATTGCTTTCTGTGTGTGTGTGTGTGTGTGTATATACACACACACACTTTTGTAAACTGAATTTGGTCACCAAAATGGGACGTCTCTTCTTTGACCCATGCATGGATTTATATGCAAAAATGTACGTTTTTATAGTTTTTTTTTTTTTTTTGTAAAATGGGAAGCAATTGTATTATAGTGAAGAGAACACATTGTAGATTAAAGTTTATAGTTATTTTCCCTAACTGACACTTATCACACTGACACTTACTAACATGAATATTCATTACTTGACATTACTTTACTTGAACATTACTTGAATATTCCTGTCTGTTCAGCACATCACAGTTAAGCAGAGAGGGCAAGAGCCCCGACCGCGACGCTGACGTACAGATGCTACTTTAAACAGCATCTTTCCAGTGCTCATCCAATAGCTACTTGCACTCCAGAACCACAACCTGTAAGTCACCCACTACAAGAACCTCCTTCACAGCAACAACCAGCATCTCAACCACAAGAACTTGATTTGCAGCAAGCAGCACCTCATCCACAAGAATTAGCAGCTTGTCCAGCGATTGAGAGAAAGCAAATCTCTGTTCAGTTTCCACGTAGGGTGAGTCTGATTTCTAAAAATTGAAATACATTGAGCTGAATGACTATCTAGCATTAAGTATTATTGGTTAACATTAGCTAGCTATTTAGTGCATCTCGCTATTTGGCGCTTTAGCTATGAAACCAATGGTGATACAGGTAACTTGCATTTAAAATATCAAAGGCTTATCCAGTCTAACCTTAGCTAGTTATCTAGGCTGGAGTTCTAGGCACTACATAATGTAACTGTTGAAATAATCAATTAGTTAAATGAATTAATCTAGTATAAATATGAAGCAATGGTAATATACATTGGGGAAATACATTTTAGACTAAAATTTGTAGGGATGCACCGAAAAAGTCAGATACCGATACTTTCATTTTTGGTACTCGCCGATACCGATACCTATACCTGTATTTTCACAGCATTTGTAATTTTTTTTTTAAATATTGGGTACAGAAACAAAATAATAGTAGTAATAATAATATGAATCGTGTTATTTGGCTTCATTTAGCAAACAGATATTATCTTCAGTTATTTCCACACTTAATTATACCTGTTAAAATGTGTTGTATAAGCTTTTGTTACTTTCACTGTTCATTTTAATGGCGCATTAGAGCTGCTCCATTGCAGCAGCTCAAAACTGTAATCACAAAACGTTTTCCTAAAATAATGCGGGGAACCACTCGTTATACATTATATGAGTGCACGAGTACTATTTTGCTGATGTAATTTGCGCCATGTGCAGTGTACACGGACCCTCGCGTATGAGTAAAAACCAAAGTATACTTTGGCCTTAAAGCAAGCTAAATATACGCAGTGCGCACACGTTTGTATTGGTGCAGAATGAGAGAGACACTTACAGCCTAGCGCACCACCTTAATCTCTAATAACTCCATTCTACTCTGTTGTTCTGTTTTCAGTGTTTCTTTTTCTGGACACAGCTCTATTCACACGCTGTTTGGTATCGGCTTTTGGTATCGGGGCATTTTTACGAGTACAGGAGTGCAGTATCGGACCCGATACCGATACCAGTATCGGTTGCGGTGCATCCCTAAAAATATATAGACATTTTCTCTTGAGGGTAACTGACATTTTTCTTGTCTATTCAGCACATCACAGTTAAGCAGAGAGGGCAAGAGCCTCGACCGTGACGTTGCCGTACAGATGCTACTTTATTCACATGCCCCTTCTGCACAACTGATGTACTGTATGTAAGCCAAGACAGTACCATCAAATAATGACCCATATAGCTGGCCATAAACTGAGAGCGGTTGAATATGGAGGTGAGTAGTGAGCTTAAAGTTTGTTTGGTAATACTTTATAATAATGTGGTAATACTTAACATATGTTATAAACTAACAATGAACTAATATTTTTACAGTATTCATCAATCTTGGTTAATGTTAATTTAAAAATATGCAAATACATTTTTAAAATGAAAAGTAATTAATTAATTCTGTAAAAGAAAGAAATGTCCATTGTTTAATGTATGTTGATGTACATTGACTAATGTAAAAAAAATAAGTTTATTAGAAAGTGATATCATTTTTTCAGTTACATTTACATTTAGTCATTTAGCAGACGCTTTTATCCAAAGCGACTTAGAAAATAAGGATAAAAGTCAAAGTTAAAGTCATTATGCAGGGAAATGTCTACTAACATTTTATTATTTATTTTTAGATTATGTTATGTACAGCTGTAACATTGGCTGTGGTCAAAAGGCCAGACATTTTCACTGCTGCAAGTGTCCCAAGATGTACATCAATAAAATTGATCTAAAAAGGCATCTTTGCAGTGCTCATCCAATGGCTCCAGAAACATAACCTGTAGGTTGCTCACTACAAGCACCTTCTTTACAGCAACCTGCACCTTGTCCATTGGAATTAGCAGCTCATCCAGGGATGGCTAAAAGAAAGCAAATCTCCGTGCAATGTCCTCACTGCGGGCTCAGTCGTAATTCTAAAAATTTGAAGAAACACATTGAGCGGAAGCATCATGAAGCCTTGCATCCCGTAACTTCAGTTCTACCAGCACAGTGTGTCGATAAAAAGAATGGACTATATGTTGTAGCAGAATCATTTTGTGAGCCCTGTACCCTCATCCATGTGGTAAAAAGTTTTGGGGTTCATCCCACAAGGTTATGTGTGAAATGGATATTTGCAACAGTCGTGTTGAAATGGCACAAAGGAGTGAACTTTTGGTTGCACAATGTGTGCATCTAAGCTCAGTAGACTACACCTGTGCTGTTGCACCGAGTGAGGATTTATCAGAGCATGTGTTGACTGAGATGGTGGAGTGAAAATGGATTGGGGACATAAGGAAGAAACGATGCCTTAAGCTGCAACATCAGGCTAAAAGTAAAGGTGCCACATTTACTAGCCTTGTTAAAATTGGAGACCCCGGCTACATGTATTATATGTCAATTTATGAGCCAAAGGTGTCACATTACAGTAAACTGGGCAGAGTCTTGGTGAATTACAATGCCAAGATAAACACTTGGAATTGCCCTTGTAGCAAAGGTAGAAAATCATGCCTGCACAAGAGTATTGCAAAGTGGTGTCTCTATCAAATGAGGAAGCAGCTCTTCAAAAACCTGCCTGAAACAGAGGAAGGAATTGAATCAGCGCAATGTATATACACACACACACACATATACCCCGCACTCACTCCTGTAATGGCCCCCGCACTAGATTACGCTCACAAAATGGCGGCGACAGATGAGCCTGATCACAAAATGGTGGACACAACAGCGCCCCGTCAAGTCACAGTTGATCGTAATGAGTCAAATCAAGTCATGGCCGATCTTCAAAGTCAAGTCAAGTCACAGTTGATCGTCATAGTCAAATCACGGCCAATCTTCAAAAGTCTAGTCAAGTCACAACTGATCGTCATGAGTCAGGTCTAGTCACAGTTGATCATCATGAGTCATGTCAAGTTACAGTTCATTATCATGAGTCAAATCAAGTCACAGCTGATCTTCCTGAGTCAAGTCTAGTCACAGTTGATCTTCCTGAGTCGAGTCTAGTCACAGTTGATTGTCATGAGTCAAATCAAGTCACAGTTTATCATGAGTCTGGTCAAGTCACAGTTGTTCTTCAGGAGTCCAGTCAAGTCACAGCTGATCTTTTTGAGTTCAGTCAAGTCATGGTTGATTATCATGAGTCTGGTCTAGTCACAGTTGACCGTCATGAGTCAAGTCAAGTTACAGTTCATTATCATGAGTCTAGTCAAGTCACAACAGATCTTCATGAGTCAAGTCAAATCACAGTTGATTCCCCTGAGTCAAGTCAAGTCAAGTCACAGTTGATCGTCATGAGTCAAGTCAAGTCACGGCCGATCTTCAAAAGTCAAGTAAAGTCACAGTTGATCGTCATGAGTCTAGTCCAATCACAGCTGATATTCATGAGTCTAGTCAAGTCACAACTGATCGTCATGAGTCAGGTCTGGTCACTGTTGATCTTCATGAGTCAAGTCAAGTTACAGTTCATTATCATGAGTCAAGTCAAGTCACAGCTGATCTTCCTGAGTCAAGTCTAGTCACAGTTGATCTTCCTGAGTCGAGTCTAGTCACAGTTGATTGTCATGAGTCAAATCAAGTCACAGTTTATCATGAGTCTGGTCAAGTCACAGTTGTTCTTCAGGAGTCCAGTCAAGTCACAGCTGATCTTTTTGAGTTCAGTCAAGTCATGGTTGATTATCATGAGTCTGGTCTAGTCACAGTTGACCGTCATGAGTCAAGTCAAGTTACAGTTCATTATCATGAGTCTAGTCAAGTCACAACAGATCTTCATGAGTCAAGTCAAATCACAGTTGATTCCCCTGAGTCAAGTCAAGTCACAGTTGATTCCTCCGAGTCAACTCAAGTCTCATCTGATCTGCCAGAGCCTCGTCACGTCTCAGCTGATCTCCCAGAGTCTCGTCACGTCTCAGCTGTTTGTCCAGAGTCTTGTCACGTCTCAGCTGATCGTCCAGAGTCACGTCACATAACAGCTGATCACCCAGAGTCACATCACCTCACAGCTGATCATCCAGAGTCACGTCACCTCACAGCTGATCATCCAGAGTCGTGTTGAAATGGCACAAAGGAGTGAACTTTTGGTTGCACAATGTGTGCATCTAAGCTCAGTAGACTACACCTGTGCTGTTGCACCGAGTGAGGATTTATCAGAGCATGTGTTGACTGAGATGGTGGAGTGAAAATGGATTGGGGACATAAGGAAGAAACGATGCCTTAAGCTGCAACATCAGGCTAAAAGTAAAGGTGCCACATTTACTAGCCTTGTTAAAATTGGAGACCCCGGCTACATGTATTATATGTCAATTTATGAGCCAAAGGTGTCACATTACAGTAAACTGGGCAGAGTCTTGGTGAATTACAATGCCAAGATAAACACTTGGAATTGCCCTTGTAGCAAAGGTAGAAAATCATGCCTGCACAAGAGTATTGCAAAGTGGTGTCTCTATCAAATGAGGAAGCAGCTCTTCAAAAACCTGCCTGAAACAGAGGAAGGAATTGAATCAGCGCAATGTATATACACACACACACACATATACCCCGCACTCACTCCTGTAATGGCCCCCGCACTAGATTACGCTCACAAAATGGCGGCGACAGATGAGCCTGATCACAAAATGGTGGACACAACAGCGCCCCGTCAAGTCACAGTTGATCGTAATGAGTCAAATCAAGTCATGGCCGATCTTCAAAGTCAAGTCAAGTCACAGTTGATCGTCATAGTCAAATCACGGCCAATCTTCAAAAGTCTAGTCAAGTCACAACTGATCGTCATGAGTCAGGTCTAGTCACAGTTGATCATCATGAGTCATGTCAAGTTACAGTTCATTATCATGAGTCAAATCAAGTCACAGCTGATCTTCCTGAGTCAAGTCTAGTCACAGTTGATCTTCCTGAGTCGAGTCTAGTCACAGTTGATTGTCATGAGTCAAATCAAGTCACAGTTTATCATGAGTCTGGTCAAGTCACAGTTGTTCTTCAGGAGTCCAGTCAAGTCACAGCTGATCTTTTTGAGTTCAGTCAAGTCATGGTTGATTATCATGAGTCTGGTCTAGTCACAGTTGACCGTCATGAGTCAAGTCAAGTTACAGTTCATTATCATGAGTCTAGTCAAGTCACAACAGATCTTCATGAGTCAAGTCAAATCACAGTTGATTCCCCTGAGTCAAGTCAAGTCACAGTTGATTCCTCCGAGTCAACTCAAGTCTCATCTGATCTGCCAGAGCCTCGTCACGTCTCAGCTGATCTCCCAGAGTCTCGTCACGTCTCAGCTGTTTGTCCAGAGTCTTGTCACGTCTCAGCTGATCGTCCAGAGTCACGTCACATAACAGCTGATCACCCAGAGTCACATCACCTCACAGCTGATCATCCAGAGTCACGTCACCTCACAGCTGATCATCCAGAGTCACGTCACATCACAGTTGATCATCCAGAGTCACGTCACGTCCTGTCTGTTGCACCCAGATTATCAAGGTCAGTCCTTCGATATCCCAGTCTGGTGGCCAGTGTGAGGGATGCACCGCTGGTGTCTGCACGTGCAGCTGGTATCCCCAAACCCACTCACTTTAGCCCTCCTGTTCCTGAAGTGATTCCCCTGTCTGAAGCGCTTCCCTTGATGGGGATCGCTTTTTGGTGTGTTTGGGCTACATACACCACCAGAGAACTCCCAGAGGCGGCGGCGCCCACGATTAGGTCTCCAGAGGTGGCGGCTGAAGCTGCAGAATCTCCTGAGTTAGTGGTGCTCACTGCTGTGTTCACCGAAGCAATGGTGCCCGCTGCAGTGTCTCCAGAGGTGGCGGTGCATGCTGCATAACCTCCCGAAGCAGAGGTGCTCGCTTCAGCTCCTTGCATGGTGGTGGCACCCAGAAACGCACTTTCAACCTGTCATGTCAAGGTCAAAGGAACCTTTGCTGAACTCTCCTTGTATCCTGAGGGCACTACTGTAGAACGTCCAGAAGTGGCGGGACCCTCTGCAGAACCTCCAGAGGTGTCAGTAGTACCCACCTGTGAACTTCCAGTTTGTCCTGTCATGGCTATGGAGGCCGCCTGTGAACTCTCTTCCTGTTCTGTTCCGGCCAAGGAGGCCGTCTGTAAACTCTCTGCCTGTCCTGTCACGGCTATGGAGGCCATCTGTGAACTCACTGCCCGTCCTGTCACGGCTATAGAGGCCGTTTGCGAACTCTCTGCTCATCCTGTCACAGCTATAGAGGCCGGTTGCGAACTCCCTGCTCGTTCTGTCACGGCTATGGAGGCCGTCTGTGAATTCTCGTCCTGTCCTGTCACGGCTAAGGAGGCCGTCGGTAAACTCTCTACCTGTTCTGTTCCGGCCAAGGAGGTCGTCAGGGAACTCGTTGTCTGTCCTGTCATGGCTATAAAGGCCATTTGCGAACTCCCTGCTCATCCTGTCACGGCTATAAAGGCCGTTTGCGAACTCCTTGCTCATCCTGTCACAGCTATAGAGGCCGTTTGCGATCTCCCTGCTCGTCCTGTCACGGCTATAAAGGCCGTTTGCGAACTCCCTGCTCATCCTGTCACAGCTATGGAGGCCGTCTGTGAATTCTCATCCTGTCCTGTCACAGCCAAGGAGGCTGCCTCTGAACACTCAGCCTTGTCTATCAACCCCAATGTTCTTTCTGTGTTGTCTGTCTCTGCTCTCTCGTTGTTACAGTGTCCGCCATGGTCTCCTGATCGGTGTGGTTCACCGTGGGGGTCTCCTGTTCCGTCTGCTCCACCGTGGTGG